GGATGATGGATGCGGGAAATGTGCGGAAGGAGTTAAATTGGCGAAAATCGGCGACAAAAATGTTAATATTGACGCGTTGACGGCGCAAAAAACCGCCGAACGACGTGACGGGACCCGCTCGTGGAATTAGCGGCGAATAATTAAAAAGTAGCGGCGCAGGAAACCGAACCGCAACCGGTTGCCGGTTTTGGCGGGAATGCCGCGATTTTGCGAGTACCCAACGAAGGAATCGTCGGGGTTTTTTTTGCCGGAAGGCAGGCGGTTGTGATTTACGATGACGCCATCCGGGGGACCCGCCTTGCGCTTCTGAATGCTTTTGCATTTATGACACGAACGCAACGGTTTAATTGTCATAACTTCCCTAAGCGAGGATTAATAATTGAAAAGTGGAAATTTAAAACATCCCAAGCGCTATCGGGTGTTGCTAAAATTGTGCATTTGCTTCTCTCTATTATTTCACGTTTATTTAAGCAGGGTGCGTAGCATCAGGAAAAACCAGAAAATATCAGGAATTTCGGCCAATCAGGAAAAAATCAAGAAAATCTGAAAAATCCGACGTTTTATCAGGAATTTTTCCTACGCGAATCTCCTCAGCGGAGAAGTCTTATTGCTTTTTGCCTACCGTGCCAGGAGTAGTCGCGTCGATGTTTACTTGCGTTTTTATAATTTTATACTAGTTTCTAATCATAAGAACCTTATCAGAAAATTTAGTTTCCGCATGCATTTATGCAATAAAAATAGTTTTTACGAGAAAATATCAGGAATTTTCAAAATGCAAAAATTACGAATTTTTTATGAAATATCAGGAAAAATCAGGAACATATCAGGATTTTTCATAATTAAAAAATACCCGACACCCTGCTAAGGGTGTACCATGCATCACTGGTAAAAAAAAAAAAAAAAAAAAACCTCTTGGACCAATGCCGCGGTGCATTGACTTAAGAGTGCAGTTTCTTGTCGCCGGATTTAAGAGTCTTGAACTCTTGTTTCAAGCGGATTTTGCATTGATTCAATTCAAAATCCGCTTGAAACAAGAGTCCAGACTCTTAAATCCGGCGACAAGAAATTGCACTCTTGAACCAAGAGGTTTTTTTTACCAACGCTAGGTGGAAATCTAAAGTTTTTACGTAGAACATTTTGAAATCCATTCACCAATTTTTCACTTGTTCTCCTAAGGGTATCTTACCAACATAGACTTCAAGCCGTCGCTTGCCTTGACATAGTTTTGCGTTCTTCAGTCGAAATGTTCTTGAAATTTAAATGGTACCAAGTAAATAATTGTAAGTTTCTCGTTGCACTGAAACTTTTCTCCGAGGACGGATTTAATAGAGCACACATTTGTTCCCGAAAATTAAATCGATAAAATATGAAAATGATTTGAACACTTGATTGTTCCATCAACGATGCCTTAGCCCTTTCCAGCCAAGGACCGACAAGTGTTTCGGTGAGGAGTGTAAGATATTTGTTTTTCTTTGTCCTATGAGCCTGATTCAAATTGCCAAGATACCATAAAAACGGCAACGGCAACCAGAATATAAATAGATCCTTAAGCAAGTATTTACAATTTCAAGTTCTAGAGGGACTAAAATAGCGGCAAGTCCTCCCACTCACTTCAGCGGAACGCGTGGTGTTAATAAATGAATATTAGCGACTTAAAAACATTACACACAAATAGCTCGAACAATTCAACGAAATTAAACTCAAGAAAACAGGTAGGCGATGTTAAAAATAAACAGCAAAATGTCAGGAACGTTTCAAGGTGGATTCAACCCTCTTGTTAATCAGGGATCAATGAGCGACCTGCGGGCTGATTATCGAAATTGATAGACAAAGCTATTTAAAAAGAAGACATAGAGAATATGGTTCGATCCAAATGGTTGTAACGGGTGGTTTTTATAGACCAGGAGGGAAAATTATAGACTACCTACTGGGTCTCTCTTACGTTGCGGTTTTAAGTCTATTACTTACCTCCTTTGTCCATTGCAACCACCCGCTTCCACCAATAGGCTCGCTTTATTTTCAGTTTGCCTTCTTTGTCCATCGCTTTGTCTATCAATGTCAACAATTGGGCTACTAGTGGTGACTTCCAGCAAGGATCATAACGAGCGAAAGTCTTCACCCTGAAACGGTAGTATACCACATTAAAAGTATTTAACGTGGAACTTACGATAAAATCGTTTTAGAAACAAAATTGCCTTTGTAGCATGTTTCACATTATGTTCGTGTACATGATTTCTTGTAAAACAACTTACTGAATGCAGATCTCCCGGGGTTTTAGCAAGCGTGAGACAGGAAACACCAGCATCATCATAATCGCTGAATTGCCCAGGAAAATATGCATTATGCATCGCACCCAATATCAGTACCCCAGAGCCAAAAGGTACCTAAAGCTACTGTTTGGGCAGAGGCCCAAAATAAAATAAAAAATGAGAAAAGAAAATACTAAGTAATTTTGAAGAGTGGACTGTATGTGATTTTAATTTGTGAAAGACTACTAGGCCGCGCGGGCAGCAACCGTGATTGCCGCGTCGCGCTGCAGCGCATAATAATGACGTAAAGTAAAGTAATACCAGGTTTGATTATTATATAAATGAATAGTATAAAATAAATAAAATAAAATCCGTGCTCAAACAGCTACTTCATTTTTGTTCTTTCGAGATATCGGGGGAAAACCACGCATCGACCCCATTAATTCCAATGTAAATCGCAATTTTGAAATTCTGTATCTCATAACCAGCGGTAGATAGGACCACCTTTTCTACACACACAGAGAACCGTTCTCGGAGATTTCGGAAACGCCACCAACTCGACTTTTCCAAAAATACAAGTTCATCATACAAGTATGAGAAGTCTCGTATTCATTGTCAGGGTTGGTGATACGTTCGAAACGTGCAATGGAGCTACTGTCCATTTTACCACCCAACGGACCATAGCACAAACGCGGCTCTGATTGGCTTCGAATGCTAAAAGCCGCGGTTTTATCATGTTGGTGGTAAGAATGAAGTCCTTAAAACTTTTGTAATCTCTCCTTAACACGTTCCACGCTCCAATGAACATTCCAAGTTTTCGCTCCAATTGAATGCAGTCTTCTGCGGTATGGAGTACTGTAATATTTTTTTAAGTCAAAATTCTTTACCTTTCAAGCAATCCTTCAGGCACCTTTCGCATATTTTTATAGAATAGATATTTGGGGTAACTACTTTACATTTATGATAAAGGATATATAAGTTCTTGGGAATAGTTTGTGATTCTATCGTCAAATCACTGTTAAAATCACTGATAATAGTTTGCCTTCTACTTTCCGAAGATTCTCCGTGTGGTACATGTTCTAAGGTAGTTTTTCTGGATGGAGTTCTTGATGTCAATTAGAGTAAAGATGGTTCTACATCTTTTACAATGACTAGTCTCACTAAACGTTGAAACGGTATATAGATGGTTTCACTTTTTAATCGTCTTAAATTTGTAGAGTCTACTAGATTATAGGCTTGTTAAGGGGTTGAGAATTCAATGTTACCTCTGTTAACTTAACGTACATAACGCGTATTAGGTTATTTGACGTTTATAACGAAAGTTTATTATCCAGTAGTTTCCCAGTTAGCATGGTGTGCTTGATTCCAAGATAACCCTGATTATCTCTCATCAAAACTATAAATGGACCAAAGCTATCTACCAATCTATATGCCTCCATTGCCACAAACCCAAGATCTATTCACCCAAATCTTGGCTCCTCGGACTTAGAGCATATCTCAGTTTCCACGTGAGCCTTGTTCTCCGATTAACTCTATGATTTTCGCGGCTCATGCGGAAATAGAGATGCTCCCTCACGCCACAGCTACGCGACGAATTACGGTCCGCTCTCAAAAGTTCCGGGGGCATCTTCACGCGGACAAAGCGTTCGGACGCGACCAAAATTCCGGGGGGAAAAAACCCCTCGTCGAGGCTGGCGTCTTTATCTCCATGCAATCTCAGTTATTAGGCCAGGTTCCGCAGCTGCGGCGGCGCTGGCGACGGGCAGTAAATTACCGCTCTGAAGCGGCTGAAAGCTTCAAGGGGGCGCCCCTCCCCCCGGATGAAGTGCTCCCATACATCCAAGACTCCCCCGTTATCAACCCCCGAAATTCCGCGCCATTTTTCCCCGCCAAGTCAATTCATGAAGTTATGAATTTCCTCCCGCCGCGGCGCAAGGCGAAACTTTTTCCGCCGATAATTTGTCAACTCTCCAGATACAAAATACAATTTATGCCTCATTCACCGCCGCCGGAGCCCTTGTTTCGGGCGCGGGGCCGCGCGGGTTGTATAACTCGCAGGCGCCGATTACTTACCCCCGCCCGGCCCGAGCCCGGGCGGGGATACTTGTTATTCCGCCGGGAGGGTCGCGCCGCTCGCCGAGGGAGATAAAAAAGGGACCTGGAGCCGCTGGATCTATTTCAGATGTGGCTGATAGCATCTATAAAGTCATTCCCGAAACTTCCGGCAGTTCTGGACTCGTGTCCCGCAAGGGTCGCGTCCCGCGGGGTGGTTTTCGGTGCACCCTGATCAGCGTGCTTTCCGATATATCGATTGATCTGTCGTTTAAAGCTGTGGACAAGTATCGATAAGCAGGGCGTTTGCGACAAACACCTTTATAATCGATTCTTTACCCCAGCTTTAGATGGGAAATTATGGAAAATCGATCATTCATGCCTCGCCACTGACCCCGATCGTGTTCTTTCCAGAATGCCGAAGAGGATGAGACCCGGGAGATGTCCAATTCGGAAAATAATACTTTACACGAAAGATGAATTCATACTTCAATGAGTATGAATAGCGTGCTTGCATATGAATATTTGAGGCACGCTAAATTTAACAAAATTTTCATTTCGTTATCAATTTAAGTATCGTGAAATCAATAGGTTGGTCTCGGAGAAAAAGGACCTCTTGCTCTTACAATGCTCATGTACTCTTTTTTAATTTGTATGTTTCGTTCAATCGTTCATTGAGGTGTTTTCCGCTTGTTTCAGGTAATTGAACATTCTAATGAGATTATTACGAGAAAATCAAAAGTACTTCCTCAGGTTGGTTTAACTTGTACAACGAGAAGTTCCCAGCCAGGTAATTGACGGCGAAAAACCATTTTCTTCACTTTCAGAATTCAAAGCAAGTGACAAGACCATTAATGTCACACGTTTTGATTGCCGCTTCGTGAGGTTTATTCATTCAACCAACAACAGTTGTACCTTCAGATTTTGTTCAAGCGCTTAAGTAAGAACGTGTGGTTTCTAAAACCATTGGGCTTGAGTTCTACTATCAAAAGGAGATCTTGAAATAATGACATGAATACTCCTGTTTGGATAAGATATCAAATCGTGAAATATGTGCAGCAGTAGATTTCTTCTATCTATTCAAAGCATGTTATGTAAGCAATCCAAGAATGAAGTTGAATGGTTTCTTTCCAAGAAGAATGATTCAGAACTGGGGCACTTTTCTGCTTTCGCTGGAGAAGCACTGCTTCCCCAAAGTGAGGATTATCTCAATGAGAAAATGTTATACAGGAGTTAACAGCACTACACAAGTCGTTACATTGGTATTTAAAAAATTTACTAACATGTTAAAAAGCAAACTAAAAGCACTCACTCGCATAAAATTGTAATTTTGAAGTTTTTTTTCTAATTGGTTGACTTAATATGACTTCGGTGTTCAGAGGAGTGACGTATCCTCGAGAATATGTTCTTGTTTTCAAACGCACCAGTCGAATCCATATTCTTTGACGTGAATTGATGAGAAAATGTTATACAGGAGTTCAAACCACCACATAAGTCGTTAAATTTGTAAATTTTTTTAAATTTGACCAGGATAATTCAATATTGGTGACTCACATAGAAATAAAGTTACCATCCAAAACTTCAGATAGAGTTTTATATATATTTACTGTTAAGCAGAATTCGTGGTTAAAATAAGCCACAATTAGATAACTGTCGCTGCCCGGAGGATATTTCCTCGCCAGTACTTCCGAATGTAAGGCGAAGTAACAGTCTCTGTATCTCCTCCATTTCGAGCCTGCCTCAGCTAGATTTTCAGTAAAGAACATCAGTGGTATAGAAACGGAACTTTTAAATTGCAAACATACTTGGTTTTTTAATATCAGGCCGTGTTCAACTCATTGTTCCCGGACAAAGGAACTTAACTCTCACTTCTGTTGTTGACTTTATCGGCCATACTTCATCAAATTTTTGAAATTTTGTTAAACTTTTTCTAACCGATTCGTCTAAAAATTGTTGATTCTACACTGCAGCTGTTTTGAGCTAACGCTCATCGTCAGGTTAGCTCGAAACAGCTGTAGTGTAGAATCAACAACAAATTTTAGAAAAATTGGTAAGAAAAAGTTTTACAAAATTTCAAAAATTTGAACTTAACTCTATTCTAAGGTTGTAAAATTTTTTGAAGCGGAGTATACCTGCGCAATTTTTGTTGAAAATTTCTCTGATTTTTTCATGAGGTCAGAGGAAATAGCAGTGATATTTTAGATGAAAATTCCCAAAATTCTCCTCGTAAAATTGCAATTACCATGGGGAAATTTGGTGCGATTGAAATGGACCACATTTTTGAAACATGGAACTATAATTTCTAGCTCATTTTTAAAAGAGCGTATGCATCATAAGTTTTCCTTCACTTATACCTAAGCATTTTTATAGTTGAGGCAGAAATTATTGTTCCTAATTGCAAAATGTAGTCCAAATGTATTTACGTTCTTTCATGATAGAAACAACGACCTGTCGTCTTCTTTCCTTTGAATGAGGTGGAACGCAATCATCGAATTCTAATTCAAAGGTTCGGAAAATTCCTACGCACCTGGGCCATGACACCATTCAATGTGGATTCAGGATATCATTCTCCTTTACCTTGCAGCTCGCGAAGTGGACTTATTCATGGTAAAAGGAACTAAGTTCCATGTAGAGCTTACGCACGTAGTTCCTTTCATCTTAAGGACGTTCCTTTAATCTTTCAAGCCATTCGACTTCGGTTCATATGCAAGGAGGGAGGAGTTAGTGGTCCCAACCCGTGACAAACCGTCTTATGAATTATGTAAATTTTAAAGCCACACCGCAATGGGGCGACCTCTTATCTATCGAGATCGGGCCACAATAAATCGAGTAACTCAATTTGCAGCGAAATAAATCGCAGGTTCTTCTGAGATCGCCGTCGATTTATCGAACTCGGTCACCTCTAGTAATCAATTTGCCGAATTTAATATCCCCAGTTGAGTTCCTATTGGTATCCGTGCGTGCGCCACCAGTGGTGTCACATTGTGGATTGTATAACAGGATACCAAGTCTGGAATTCTGGGATTCTTGCAGCTAAACTGGTGCATGTGATCGAAAAGCCGACAACATCTGAAATAGATCCACCGGCCACCTAACTTCAGAAGGGGACCAAACCAGTTCAGCGTGTCAATAGCATCGAGGAGGGCTAATCTGCCTCGCTAAGGAAGAATGCCGTATGAACATTCGAGAGTTGCCAAATTTTCCTGGATGAAACCTGTATTTTTGAGGAAAGTTGCGCACATGTTCCTTGAAATTTCCATATATATTAGACTAAATTGCGGTTAAATTCGTTTGAAACATTTGAGGAAAAATGTTCACGATTTTCCGACCTAATTTGCATTTTATCAAAGGAAATATGTCAACGTCTGAAGACTCATACGGCGTTCTTCCGTAGCATGACACTAATAGTGACTTCCTCGTTGTCGCAAAGTGGTCCCGTCGGTCCCACTAGCACCGATCTCCAGGCCCACAACGTCGCTCCTCTGACGAAATGGCGTATCTTGGATTTCTGCATGAGCCCCAGAAAGCATGGGTTCATACGCAAGACAGGGCTCTCACGGATATTGTGATACGCTCTTACGTCAGAGGCGCGACGATATTTGGCGACCTTGCTTCTTTCGGAGGTAATTTCGGTCCATTCAGAGCTTTTTGGCCATGTGTGTGAGCTCCGTTGGCTCCATGATTTTTCGTTTCGTCATCGGTCGTGTACAATGAATCGCAAGTGACAGATTACCGAAAAAGTTCCTAGATTGGGTATAACGTAAAGAAGGTGCAGACGGTGCTCAATGAGAGGGTCAAGGGATGGTTTACTCAATTCCACAGTTTAAGTGAGAACAGTGGTAAATAGGGGTAACCCACGTAACGAGTTGCCCACTAGTGGGGCCGGGGGAATGTAGATTTCGGCGCAAAAAACAAGGGAGCATGGGTGAAACTATGGGAATTTTACTGTAGGGGGCACAGGAGGACATCGAACCTGGGATAAGGGGGGCCTGGGTGGAGCGTCACCTATGCATTCACCACTGCAAAAATGTCAAAGGAAATCGACAAGGCCAGCGTGCATAAAGGCTATTTCAATGGGTCACTAAACCTTGTTTATTTTATTGAATGTTCTGAAACTACAATGTGAGTAGATAACGTGGTGATTTCTCCGCATTTTTATGGAGCCGAAATCGCGGAGAAACCCGCTTTTGAAAAATCTACAAACTGCAAGACATTTCCAATGCACCCGAATGGCGGGAAAATGACGGTGTTGACGCACTGCGGTAGTCATATTGCAATCTTCTCTCATTTTCCTCTGATGTTTGTCAAAAAAAAACGTGTTTAAATGCGGATTTGTTGCTCGTTTATTACAGCCACAGCCGACATGACTGCAAAAATATCAAAGGAAATCGAAATGGCCAGCATGCATGAAGGCTATTTCAATTGTAATCTCCCGTCGCATTTCTAAGGCGCAATGATACAACTATTTGAACTCTCCGGAATGCGTGAGGTATCACGCCGTATTTGAAGGCGTTTTCAAAACAGCCAAGTTCCGATACCCGGATTATCGTTTTGCATAGTTCATATTCTTTTGTTTTATTCCGTACCACTTGTTTATTTATAATTCTCGTATACAAACCACCCATTTGTTAAATACATTTCTAGCTGGATGGGCGGATTTCCCACAAGGCAGACCAAGGCAGCTACCTAGGGGCGCAAAATTTTGAGACACGTGCATGCTTTTTTAAGGGTTGTAGAATTGAAATCGGTAAAAAAATTTAAGGACGAAGGTAGAGGCGCGCGAAAAGAAGAATATCTGTGAATCTGTCCTTGTCTACTGATAAGGTCCGCGCCCTCTCTGCATTGCGTGTCTAGTCTCGATTTCGCGCCTTTGTTTTTTACTTTTTTCAATTTTTTGCCGCTTTTGTTTATTTTATGTTTTAATTCTCTATATTTTTTGATAAGTATGATAGCACAAGAGGATTTTGAGCTACCAAATTTTTCTCTGAAATAACCAAAAAGTAGCTTTAAATTACATTAAGTAAATACCCGATTTTAAACATTTTCCGGGGGAGGACCCCCGGCCCCCCTCTTGACTGGGGGATACCCCCCGACTCCCCACGCGGTCGTCCGTTCTGCGAGGGGCGTGACTGTGAGATTTGCCTGGGAGCGCTAAAAAGGTAAATCCGTCCCTGGGAGGGACTCCCTCAGCCGCAAAGGCGGGGTCCGGGGGGCCTCCCCCGGAGCGTCCTTGAAAATTGGAACGTCTTGAGAGCAATTTAAGGCCATTCTCAAAGACAGATTAGATGGAATGAAATATTACTTATGACAGAAATTTTGGTTACTTGTTTCTGAAAATATCATATCTTACTTTAGGTTTTAATTTAATTAATCTTAATTTAACTCTCACGAAAACAAGTATTGCGCTAAAATGAGTGAAAAACCATAACCGAATACAGTCAAACTCCATTTCACGTTCCTTACTTGGAGGGAGCTGCTCTCTTTGCGAGAAATTTTCATGTTTGATTGAATATATTAGGATTAAGCTCATATATAATCCAATTCCCATGCCTTTTACCTCAAAGCTGATTAGTAGCTTGGGTCCTCAAAATTTTTTGGAAGGGGCCGAGTAGAGCTGTGGGGGGGGGGGCGCCCCCCCCCCCTATTTCCGTCCATGCAAGGGTATTAAGACCACGATCACTTTTGTAGTCTTGTTTGTGGGAATACGGCCGGTTAGCAGGACTGATCTGATGTATCCCAAGTGTTTTCAATAACGAAGCTGAGATAGCTTTTTAAAGCCGAATGAACTGTCTTGGCTGTGGTGTCATTGCCGATGCTGTGATAAAGTATGATGAGATGTGACTCTTTAAATGATTGCAAACAACACCCAGTGAACAACATTGCACAACATTGCACGGAACCAGAATGAAATCTAAATGATGTAGATCGACGTTTTTAAAACGCCCTGGCACGTGCAAGAAAGATGCAACCGAGGCAAGCGTTCTTTTTTAATAACTAGAGAAACTCATTTTGCATGCTATTATCGTAATTGAGAATGTGTGTACACCAAAATACGCTAAGTTAAAGTTTTAAAATTTATTACCTTGAATGCATCTCAGGCTTAGGTAACCCATTGTTAGCAAGATTCAAAACAAAACATATCGATCGGGAAATTAGTAACAAGTAGTAAATAGGAAACAAGAAAACAAAACGAATTCAAACCTTATCCAAAAGGAAAATCACGAAGTATGTAAAATAGTATTAAGAGAGGCAAGAGTAAAACAAACTGAAGTGTACTAGGGGAAAACAAAGGATAGGCAATATGCAAAGCACTGTAGTTTAGAGTGATTATAATCTAATGCATAAGTCCGTCAGACTTAAAATGCTCCTTTGTAAATCTATCTGAGCGTTTAACAGAGGGATGTTATGGGGAACCAGGTGGGGTGCCCAATTCTATCATCGGAATACTGAGAGAGAATACTGAAGAGATTGCTGCAATCATTACCTTCACTCTTTCAATATTCTTCATTATTTATTTTTTATTATATTTATTTATTCATTTTTATCGAACATTGCCCGTCTTATTTCAATAGATTCTAACACAT